CACCGTTACCATCCATGTTTACTTCCATAAACACTGAGCACGCTCGCTGCGTGTGACGTCGTCGTGTCCTCTTCTGCGCATGCGGGACACTTTTGGCTCGTATGAAGTTCACACAGCAGATCACATACAAGTCGCATTGAAGTGGAAACGTGAAGGAAGTCACAAAGAAATCCTCATTGAGCATCAAGTCCTGCAGTGTGAACGTAGCCAATCTGTGGGATTGTTCAGTCAGATAATACGCCGTCATCCTTCTGAAGCATCCTGTGATTACTGGGTTGACACTAGAGGAGGACATTACCACTCTACTCTACTCAGTCATCCATCCTTGTCTTTAATGCCACACCAGGCTTGTAATGTTGGGCAATTTCAATACATTCTGCTACGACATTCATTGTGTGTTGTTCTGGATGGCAGTGGGCCTGGTGAGTGTCCAACATGTGGACCTGACCGGCCACCCACACTGCAGCGTCAGCTCAGACTCTGTGGGCGTCCGGTCCTTCTGTCTGTGTGCTGCTCACTGGGCTCTAATGGAGCAGATCACTGCCTTCCCTCCACTGTGGGCCACAGCACCGAGTGTGGTGGCCTCAGACTGCACACAGAGAGCTGCTGCTGCCGCCGATGGAGACAACAGGACAAACAGGGATCTGAAAGACAAGCTGAAGGTGACTTACAGACGTCATTGGGTCTCTGCTGTTCGTTAGAAAACATTAGATTATGTCTAAAAGTCTACATTATGTCGCACATTATGCCCCACAATAAGGAAGAGTCACATTTATCAATTTAGAAAATAAAAACTGTCGTTATTTTAAAAAATGAAAAAGGTTCATCCTATTAATACTGCATACCGCTGATTTATTGGAACGCTTCCTTCTGGATATGATGTGTTAAATGTTGATATTTTACTTGGTGGCGGCACAGGAGGCGTTATTGGATCATCATGTGATCAGGAAACAGCCCCTGGAGACCATGAATATAAACAGCTGATCCTACTGACATGCAGTCATTATTTTAAACATATTTACTGCAGACGTATTTGACAGACCAGGCAGCCTCCCACTGCACACGTTTGTTGAATTAATTCAAAAATTAATTCAATTCAGTTTTATTTATATCGTGCCAGTTCACAGCATATGTCTCCTCACTGCACTTGCAGGACTGAACGGGCTCGGTGGTTAGCATCGTTGCCTCACAGCTAGAAGGTCGCCGGTTGGCGTCCCGGTGAGGACACCCGGGATCTTTCTGAGTGGAGTCTCCATGTTCTCCCCGTGCAGCGTGGGTTCTCTCCGGGTTCTCCGGCTTCCTCCCACAGTCCAGAAACATGCTGAGGTTAATTGGTGATTGTAAATTGTCCGTAGGTGTGAATGTGAGTGTGCTTGGTTGTCTGTCTCTAAGTGTAGCCCTGTGATAGACTGGTTACCTGTCCAGGTGAACCTGCCTTCACCCTGAGTCAGCTGGGATCAAGGTGTAGAGATGATGGATGGATGGAAGTTCTGTTTCTGTTAGGGTCGAGCTTTGACCGCGACATTAACTCTGAGTGCAACAAAACAGTAGTAGTGAGTGGATGTTCTAACAGGAAGCAGAGAGAACGACTGTTATGTTCACCTACATGGTGGATTTTATGCTGATGGCAGTGAATGGTTCCTGTTGTCCTCTCAAAGTTTAACATTTCTAAATTCGTCTTCTCTGAGTTTAACCAGGCAGATTTGAGGCAGTTTTTTTAGGGTCGAGGGGCTTCATTACCTACCCTGGAATAGGAACTTATCCCCCCTTAAAAGAAGAACCTGAATGTGTTCCTGCAGTGGAAAATGGTTTGTTGACTTCAGGGTGGGAAGGTGCTGAAAATTTAATGAGGTGCATCACTTACGACAATTCATACGGTAGGCAAAGATTATATATATGAAATAATACAGCTAACATTTCCATATTCAGTGTCGACATGTGGAGCTGTTTTATTGATGATGTAGCAAAAATTATCAGACAAACAAATCATTAAGTTTTGAGCCTAAAGGCCGAAGAGCCGACAGTCTGACATGCCTCTTACCCTCAACTACGTTTTGTTTGTACAACCAAATGTAACATCAGGAACATCTTAAGAACAGACTAATTATATATTTTTAAACACACTGAGACCATAACAAGGAAACAAAGTCCCAAATAGCATCAGTAAACAGTGAATGTTCAGAATAAGAGAGCAGTGATGTCCTTTTGAAAACTACCACAATGAAACCAATGTTTAGTTCACATATAGGAATAATAAATCTATTAGAAATAATCTTATATTCCAATATTTTTATGAGTATAAATGAAAGAGAACCAATGATGTCAGAATTTAAATATCTTGCAAATGTATTGAGCAGAAACTGAATATTTCATCTGAAACAAAACACTCATTATTTTTATTAGTTTCTGTATTTAGTGCTGCCTCTGTTCTGTGGGTCTTATTGTTGTTGTCAAAGGCAGCAGGAAACAGTCAGGATCCTGCACGTTTGGGGGGTTGCAGGGGATTATGGGTAGGAGGCCACTGCCTGGCAGGTGACGCTCAGCGTGGCTCATCGGCTGGAGGAGCCACGAAGGAGGCGCGCCCTCCTCGACCTCGGGCCGCCAGCAGAGGAAGGCAGCTGAGTGTGGAGGGTGGATCCAGCTCCGGCAGCCTCTCCTCCTCACCCTGCTGCCCAGCCACGCCGTCCTTGGCGATTCTTCCCGCTGCACGTGAGGAGCCTTCAGACAAAGATGGGCTCGGAGCAGAGCAGTGGCTCCTGTCAACAGGGGGCGCCGCCAGGCAGCAGGGCAGATGCTGAGAGCACATCTGGACCTGAGGAGAAAAGTGACCCTCAAATCCCAACAAATGCACACACCAGATCCACACACATCTCAGTTTATGGTTTATAAACGTGGCAGAAAGCTCTTCTGATGTGATGATGCTGTGGTGAAGCGTTAAAGCTTCATCTAGGGACAGAAGAACAACCTGACAGGATGGGCAGCGTTCACCTGTTTAGGATTTATTTAGAGTTACTTTGCAAATTTACCTGAAATTCGCCAGACAAGAAAAACAAAGCTGGAAAGTTAAAGCTACATTCGTTGATTTTTGGCCACGAGGAGGAAAAATAATGAACAAATCTGACAAGTTGACACAGTTTCCACCACCTTCGATAGGCGACAGCGATAGACACAGACCAACACCGTCACCCTGATGGAGTCGTATTTATTCATGTTCATCTGTTTCTTTCTGCAGTAAACGGAGACAAGAGCGAATCGCAGATAACAGAAAGGCGTCTGTTTTGAGCAGAGAAGGGCTGAGGGAACAAGCACCCTGTAATAAAGCAGAGTAAGGTCAGCAGACTCGCCATGTGACAGCACACCGCCTTGGATTAGCTGCTGTAAGCCTATTAAAGTGGTTTGGACTGGGTGGGCCGGCGCAGACTACACTTCACTCCCTGCACACGGCGGTAGAGGGTGGCCCGCCTGAAGCTGGGAGGTCACGCCGCCGCTACAGGCCATGAGTCCTGCTGCTGGACGTGTCCTTGAGCCAGATCGTGTAATCAGGGAAATTCCTGAATTTGAAGTGTGTTTACAAGATTTAAACGTCCAGAGAAGTTGATGAAGATCGTCTGATAGTTGGTTTCTAATCTCCAGAAAATAGGTTTGATTGTTGATGCAAGTTTGTCTTTGAATTGCTAAAAGGTAATGTCTGCAGCAGTCATTTAATCCACTGATTTAACTTTTTATGTTTATAGTGTCGGTACGAGCTTCCCTACAAATAGCAGCATTACTAGTTCAGCAGTGTTTCTCATTAACAGCCTGTTTAAGCTCTTTTATTGATCAAATAGTGTAGCAGCATCCACAGAGACATTACTTATGAGATGAACAGTATTTCCTCTCACATAAAACTAAAAACCAACAGTTTTGATTCACTACATTAAAAATAAAGGCCCCACAATACGATTTAAATCTTCATTTTTTCAAATACTTCACGTGTCTGTATGGAGGAGATCAAATTCCTAACCATGTCCTGACATTCCCAGATCATTTTGTACCGTGTTTATGCAGCGATGCTCAGTGGAAACAACAGTCGTGTGTCAGTCATCATGTTTAGTTTTGTTGCACTGAGCTTCTCCTGTCTGTAGTTTCACTTTAGTCTGTCTGAACTATTAGCTTTTAATTATATATAAGAGGAAAGACTCTTATAAAATAATGCATCTGCTGAGAAGTAATTTGAGTAATTTCACATTTAAGTGATCTTGCCAATGAGTTTACCTTCCCCTGGTTAACACTCACTTTTATATCGGACTTTAAGATATTACTGGTCACCTTTAAACGCTCTGAACTGCTACAGCCCAAAGAGCAAAGCACAGCCATCCATTCATGTATATATGTATATATTTGCATTCTCACTGTTTATTATTATTACTGTTATATCTGTTATCATGTCTTTATTCTCTATATCTTTTACATATAAATATATATCTTTTCTATATGTCCTCATGTTTATATTCCATGCTTGCGCTATTCTTTTTCATGTGTTTTTATACTTGTGTTTGCACTGTTTCTCTGTGTGTGTACTGCTGCTGACAACAATGTGAATTTCTCCCCTGTGAGATAAATAAAGGCTGATCTTATCTGATCCGTGCACTCGCTGCATGGAAACGAAGGCACATCAGTCATTTGTCTTACTTTTGTTTGTAAGGTTCTTTTGGCATCCTTAGTTTATTTAAAAATGAAAAATAAATTAAATGGTTTATTCCCCAACATGTAGTTTTCCCCTTGTGGCATAAGTGCACATGTTTGTCTTCCTTTTATAAGCAAACACTTTCCTTTGCACATTCAGTGCATTCCAGACATGTTTTGGCGTTTTGTCCTTCATGCAAATCAGAAGAAATGTGTGTGAGCTCATTTATAAACCCTCTCACAGTGAAAACTACCAGAACCTACAGAAGGTTTAGTGAATATGAAAGCACTTCCTCTGGCACAATGTGAGGAAACTGCATGACAAGACAAGGAAATGCATTTTAACTGTGACTTTAATTGAGCAGGTCACAAACAGTGGACAACAGTTCAGACACAAAGAGGAAAAACTAAATTATAAGAGATTGTTTTGACTGTAGACCCGTTGTTATGGTCGGCTCACATCTTTCCGCCCTCCTGTGGATCCATGTAGCTGTCTGGAGGCAGCAGCGGACTGAAGCGCAGCAGCGGCAGGTCCACAGCCGGACCGTGGCCCTTCACCTGGGCCCAGCCCTCTCTGGGGCCGCGGACGGGCGGAGGCGGCGGGGGCAGGTCACAGTCGGTGGGGCTGGAGTAGCTGTCGTCTGGATGGTGGTGGTGGTTGCTGTTGTTGTTGTGGTCAGGGGGGGAGATGCTGCTGCTGCTGTGGCAGCGCACCAGGAACGTTCCCCGGTGGTGCCGGCGGTACAGCATGCCGGCCGCCACCAGCAGCATCAGGATGAGGGAGCTGAGCAGGAAGAACAGCACGTAGACGCCTTTGGCCTCAGAGGACAGTCCTGAGCTGCAGCCTGCAGGCAGACAGGTGGAGGTCAGCTGACTCTCTGGGAGCCCGACTCATCACGTTCAGTCAGAACATACCTGCTGCCTTCTCATCCACACAGTTGGTTCCTCCTGACCCCAGACGGGACTCGTCCTGGAAGCCCGGTCTGCAGTGGCAGGAGTACGAGCCGAACCGGTTCACACAGTCCGCATTAATGTCACAGAGAACCAGCTGGGTCCCACACTCGTTGACATCTGAAAACGCACACATGCAGACGTCTGCTGGTGACACTGTTAACTTCAAGCTGTTTTATGTTTTTGACCCTTTAACATTATTATTAGTTCCATTTTCTGCTGGTAAATAAAAAAACGCGGTGCAGTCTGGCTCTGTGGATTGGTGCACAGCGACATTTCCTTCAGTTCTGGACTGAAGGCTCATGACGGGATGCTCTACCTGCTGTGGACACGGACAGGACAACGGCCCTCCTGTGGTTCCCTCTGAGGCCGACGCCTGCAGCGATGAGGCCCTGCAGGGCGGAGTGGATGACCCTGTGGACCTGCAGACCTCCAGGCTCCTGTCCAATCTGCAGCCAGAGGATGTACAGCAGTCCTGCATTTAACCTGCACACAAACACAGGGTTCATCACCTGGTATCAGAGGATCCCTCTGACCAGCGAGTGTACTTCATCTACTAATGAAGACGTTGTGATTCAGGTAAAAAGGTCAGAAAAAGCTAATAATGGGGCCTTGAGTTATGAATGTTAGTTAAAATTATTTTGACATTAGTAATTAATTAATGATTTAATTGCTTAATACTTAATTACTTTTGTTTCCAAAACAATTTCGCTTGAAACTGTAT